ACAGTAGAATTGTAAATGGGCTGATTCATCATGTCATGCTCATAACTGTGCTTGATCTACAACAGGGAACTGCTGCTTTTTCTTTCCTAATCCTTACTATTGTCATTTTTTCCTCTACTTCTTGTGTATGTTTGTCACTCTCTTGTGACCTGCTATTTCCGGGGTGCCTTGATAGTCGAAGCAGACCTTGTGCTGTTGAAGCTAGAGAGGTGAGCAGTCTAAGTCTGATTCCCTGTAAAGACTTCTCTGTTGACACCCACCCCTTGACGCTCATATGACCTTATGCGGTTGCGAGCGCCGTAAAACTCTCTACTTTTTTTCTTTTTCTCTTCCTTCTGTTATGGCCACAGTGCCTCTTTACTTAAGTACACTTTGGACAAAGTAGTTCTGAGACGTCGACTTCTCGACCGCCTTCTTGTTTTTCGAGTTAGGCTAACGGACTCGTAATCGTGAGGTTGCGGGTTCGGGGGTTCGAGCCGACGTTGTGTCCTTGGGAAAGGCACTTTACATGAATTTTCCTCACTTCACCCAGGTGAGAATGGGTACCTGGCTATAGACAGCGAAAGATCTTGTCAGTTTGTTAGTGTTTGAGCGCTTAATCGGCTGCTTGCACAGTATGCTTCCCGGGAAACTGAGAATGTTTCGGAGTGTTCTATGGTCTGCTGGGGTAATAATATAGTGTAAAGCGCATAGAGCTTGCTGTCGAGTGGGGGTTATTAAACATTCTTAACATCACTGATGATGATTGTTATTATTAATCACTATTAGCAGTGGTAGTAGTAGTAGTAGTCGTTATAGTAGTAGAAGTCGAAATAGTTGCAGTAATAGTAGTAGTAATAGTAATTATTATTAAAATTAATAACCATTATGATAAGAATTAATTACCTATTATTACCAATTACCTATTCTGAAATGAACCCTCATGAAGAGGGGTGAGGAAGCATGGAGCACCCCGTCTTCCTAAGACCCCAGTTCTACCTTCAAGTAATTAAAGTAAGTAATTACATATTATTATGAATTTCGGAAATTATTCGTAATGACTGTAGCTATGACGCTCGTATCTCCCCAGCGTGGCGGTGTCCTTCACCCCAGCTCCCTGTACAGCAAGTGGGCCGGCCGGGTGTTCTGGGCCGACGCAGACGGGAAACCTCTGCCCGATACCATGGTTTGTCTCCACACTTGGTCGCCTCGGAACTGTTTTTGGCCACAGTGCCTCTGTACTTAAGTACACTTTGGTCGAAGTAGTTCTGGGGGGACGACTTCTTGACTGCCTTCTTGTTTTTCAAGTATTTTTCGAGTGTTTTTTTTTTTTTTGGGGGGGGGGGGGTGGTATTGGTGACTGGAATGTGCATTAGGCATGTCACAGGATTTTTATTTTTAAAATTTTAATAATAATTATAATAATTTATAGTAATAATAATAGTAATAATTATAATAATAATAGTAATAATAATAATAGTACCAATAATAATAATTATAGTAGAAATAATAATTTTAGTAGTAATGATAATAATAGTAATAATAATAATAATTATAGTAGTAATAATAATAATAGTAATAAAAATAATAGTAATAACAAAAGTAATAATAGCACTTACATAGTGCATATCCGTACTGTGCAACATGTTATTATACCCTTTGCAACTATTACTTTTGTTTCCTAGAGCTCCCCCCCCCCCCCACCTCCTTTCCTTCTTTTTGATTGAGCAGTTGTTGGTTTTTTTATTGCTGTTTTTGTTTGTAGCTTGCCCCTCAGGGATGTTTTTGTTTGGTATAACCAAAGAGTCTACATGACAAGAGGGGCCACTTCTCTCTTTGAGACAATTAAAAAAGTGTCCTCAAAATTCGGTGGCGCCCTCTTCACAAAAGCGCACCTTTAGCGAACAGAGTTATCCTACTTGAGTTTAAAAAATCAAAGTGAAACTAGCAAGTTTTTGAATAAATTTCGGAAGAATGCTTTTTTAAAATGGTTACGCTGACAAAAAACCTCTTCCGGAGGAAAGGGTGATTGTTTTCTTCGTTTAATTTGACTTTAGAATGAAAGGTGAGAGGTCATTAAAATATAAAAAACTAAAACTCCGCACTGAACGAACCCAAACTGCTGATGAACAGCAGTCGATCTGCGCACGCAAGGAGGTGCTATTCCTATTCTTCTTCTGGAAAAACGAAAGAGAGCTTCAAAACAAAGACTGCAGCGCCATCTGAAGCAAAGAGCGGACTTCCGGCGGACACTTTTTTGGCTGATTGGCCCATCTTGTTATGTACTATCTTTGGTATAACCAAACACCACACGTGCGTACATACCAGTGTTGATATGCATTCTTTTACTCTAATGAACAAACATTAATTATTGAATGTATGTATTTTGTATAAATGTGAGGCTTTATGGTCAAATCGGGCGCTCGCCAAAAAATTACGTGGAAGAAACTGTCACTTTTCCTCCTGTTTGGCAATTTTTATCGAATTTTGATTTTTTGGCTCAACACCTTTTTTGTCCGTTTAAAAAGGCATGTCTGTGTGGAAATCAATGAAAAACGTCGATTAAAGGCACAAAAAATGTAAATTTTCAGTTTCCAAAAACTCTCAAGATAAGGAAGTGACCGAACTTTGACGGCCATTTTCTCGCTAATTTGACCTCTGAAACCAGGCGACCCCACCTCCTTCAAGCGCAAATATCTCAACTTTATTCAAGATAGATGGGTATTTTTTGTCACCAAATGCAGGACAAATGAAAAAGCTTTAAGATGTTACCAATAACTCCTTATGCCCAAAAATTGACGAGCGCCTGATTCCTCTGCGTCGCACCACAAATGTTTGCCACAGTGATTCAATCGGAGATGGACATTAAATTCAAAGTTCCTGTCTCTTGAATAACCTAATAATAGGGTTAATAGGGGTGTTAAACCCGTACACTGACTAACTGTGCCATTGTCTCGTAAAACTCTCATAGAGGCTCAATAATAGATGAATGATATTTTATTTTATTTTATTTTATTTATTTTTTAATCCGGCTATTTCTATCCATGGTCAGGCTGCCTGGGTCCACCGATATGAAGCTATCGGGGAGTGGATACAAAAACTTCGACCAGAAGATCTGGTCAGTTTGATTGACAGCCTGGTGTTTACAGTACAGGGCAGGAAAACGGTGAGTGTTCTTTTTTCTTTTTCTTTACGGTCCCCTGCTAGATCCCAGGAGTAGTTGACTGCTCGTAGACGGAGAGTGGAACAAAGTTTGAGTCTTTGGGGTTGTTCTGGTTGTTTCAGTTTTGCTCCTACAGACTTCAACATAAGTTAAGGACCACTTGCAAACACTCTGAGTGGTCTTCGTGGGCGATCTTGGACTGATCCAGTGGCTTGATGGCGCTGCCTCAAGCAGACAATGACAGAGTGTGACACTGCAAGCCGTCTGGCAACTTCTCGTGCTCCAACTCCATCCTACAGCCATGCCACAGCTCTGGCATGATCAAAGTCTCTCAGCTTTCGTCTTGGTGACATATTGATGCGATACTGGATTTTGCGCAAACGACGGCTTATATTACCACCAAAGTGAGCACAGTTCGAGACCGTATGTCCGTTTATGACGTGCACCAGAAATTTTAACTGAGGAATGTCCGTGGTGTCGCACACAAGTCGATAAAAAACAGCAAATTTGAGTAAAATTCCCCGAGGATTTCCGTGCTGCTCGTGGTGGTTTTGCCCCTTTAGGAAGCTTTGCAGTACACTTTTGTAATACGTTAACACTTTCAGAGACATTCCTTGCAGCCTTTTTTTCGGATTAAAAAAAAAATCAGGGTTGTCTGTCAAGGTGGTCCTTAACTTATGTTGAAGTCTGTAGTTAAAAAGTCTCAGCTGTGGTTTTTCTTTCATGGAAACTGTTTCAGAATTTCTATTTTTCACAATTTTGAAGAGGATAACTGCTTTTTGTGGGTGGTCAGAGGGCACAGTTGTTAGGTCTGACTACTTTACTTGCCTTCTGTTGTTTCTGTCTGTCTGTCTGTCTGTCTGTCTGTCTGTTTGTCTTACTTTTTCCCCGACACTAAATGACCAATTTTGTGTCGATGTGTTTCTCTTTGCTCAGATAAACAAACAAACAAACAAACAAACAAACTGTTTTGCTGTATTTTTCCGCTTTGGATGTGCAGCTGTAAAGTTGGGGGCACAGATTGTCCTTTCTTTAAGTCACGGAAACCAGAAGTGTGGACGCCTGAGCATCTTTTACGGGTGAAAAGTCTGTGCCGTTATTTCATGTGGACACCTGAGCATCTTTTATCTTTGAAAAATCTGTTATTTCTTCATGACAACTTGTCAGTTAGCTGTTTCTTTCAGCGTCACTGTCTCATCATGAAACTTAACTCTTTATCTCTGTGGGGGGTGAACCCACTATGCCGGGCCCTTTCTTTGGTCCTAAAATCTAAAAATGAAAAAAAAAAAACGTCACTAAACGGGTCATTAAATCAAAACGAGTGAACCTATTTAGATAGTTCTTCATCTAAGAGATCTGTCCTCAGGAAATTGCTGTGAAGCAATTTGATGTCCAAGTTGTCGTAAAGGAATGTGCCCGAGCCACTGTCAGCGGCTCACCGACACAGGGGCTCTGACTGCGAGCCGCTGGGAGGGCTTGCCGGAGATAAAAAGTTAATTCATCAGGGCGTATATTTCAGCTTGACTATTTAGTCATGATATTATGTCATCTCGACATGGGTCTGACATAAAAAATGTTATAATTTGAATGCATTTTTCACCTCATCTCTTTTGTTGTGACATTTCATCATTTGGATGTATATTCGGGCATGACTGTCTCATGATATTTTATCGTTTCCTATCAAACATCTATCGTCTTTATCTCCCCTCCTTCTTTTTTGTGTTTGTTACTCTCTTGTAACACCTGTAATCTTCAGCACTTATATGACCTAATTGTGTTGCAAGTGCCGTAAAACTCTTACCTGAACTAAAAATGGTTTGGATGTATGTCGTATATTCCAGCTGGACGTCCCGACGCGAGACGAGATCACAAAACGGGCGCTCAAGTTCTCCCGTCAGTCTGGCTCGGGGAAGAAAAAGAAACAGGAAGACACCGGGTATGTCTTCACTGCGGTCTCCTTGTTTTGTTTTGGCTTGTTTTAAAAAAATAATTTTTTGTCGTGTGTCCTGATTTGGTGTGGAATATTGGTACGTAAAGAGTAATATGTGTTTATGTGGTAGTTACTGTGGGATGTATTGGTACGTTATGAATAAATAAAATGTGTTAATGTGGTAGTTACTGTGGGATGTATTGGTACGTTATGAATAAATAAAATGTGTTAATGTGGTAGTTACTGTGGGATGTATTGGTACGTTATGAATAAATAAAATGTGTTAATGTGGTAGTTACTGTGGGATGTATTGGTACGTTATGAATAAATAAAATGTGTTAATGTGGTAGTTACTGTGGGATGTATTGGTACGTTATGAATAAATAAAATGTGTTAATGTGGTAGTTACTGTGGGATGTATTGGTACGTTATGAATAAATAAAATGTGTTAATGTGGTAGTTACTGTGGGGTATTGGTACGTTAAGAATAAATAAAATGTGTTAATGTGGTAGTTACTGTGGGGTATTGGTACGTTATGAATAAAATGTGGTAGTTACTGTGGGGTATTGGTACGTTAAGAATAAATAAAATGTGTTAATGTGGTAGTTACTGTGGGGTATTGGTACGTTAAGAATAAAATGTGGTAGTTGCTGTGGGATGTATTGGTACGTTAAGAATAAATAAAATGTGTTAATGTGGTAGTTACTGTGGGGTATTGGTACGTTATGAATAAAATGTGGTAGTTACTGTGGGGTATTGGTACGTTAAGAATAAATAAAATGTGTTAATGTGGTAGTTAAATTGGTAAGAGTCACAAAAAGAGATACTGCTTTTTTATTTATTTTTTGTTGTTGGTAAACTATTGTTGTAACCTCCTCCCCCCCCCCTCCCCCTTTCCGGGCGTAAGATTATATTTGAACGTCCCCTTGCTAAAACTTGTTTTAAAAAAGCCGACTACTTGTGTTGACAGTGTGATGACGTGGGAAGAGTGTGGCCTGGAGCTCAACAGCCGACTGTCCCACCTCAAGTCGTTGACCAATGACACGGTCCAGTCGTTCGCCCAGGCTGAAGACCCCGTGTTCTCTTCCTACGCTGAGAGATATGACCTGTCCAAGGGAAACCAGGAGGAGGTGTGTCACAGGCGTGTTGTTTTGTCACAGGCGCGTTGTTTTGTCACAGGCGTGTTGTTTGTCGCAGGCGTGTTGTTTTGTCACAGGCGTGTTGTTTTGTCCCTGGTGTGTTGTTTTGTCACTGGCGTGTTGTTTTGTCATAGACTTGTTGCTTGTCATAGACTTGTTGTTTGTCATAGGCGTGTTATTTGTCGTGTGTTGTTTTTCATAGGCGTGTTGTTTTATCACAGGTGTGTTGTTTTGTCATAGACTTGTTGTTTGTCATAGACTTGTTGTTTGTCATAGGCGTGTTATTTGTCGTGTTTTGTTTGTCATAGGCGTGTTTTTTTGTCGCAGGCGTGTTGTTTTGTCACAGGCGTGTTGTTTGTCATAGACTTGTTGTTTGTCATAGGCGTGTTATTTGTCGTGTGTTGTTTGTCATAGGCATGTTGTTTTGTCGCAGACGTGTTGTTTGTCATGGACTTGTTATTTGTCACTGGTGTGTTGTTTATCGTGTGTTGTTTGTCATAGGCGTGTTGTTTTGTCACAGGAGTGTTGTTTGTCACAGGTGTGTCACAGGCGTGTTGTTTTGTTACTGGTGTGTTGTTTTGTCACAGGAGTGTTGTTTTGTTACAGGCGTTTTGTTTTGTCACAGGAGTGTTGTTTGTCATAGACGTGTTGTCATAGACGTGTTGTTTGTCATAGACGTGTTGTTATGACGTGTTGTCATAGACGTTTTGTTTGTCATAGACGTGTTGTTTGTCATAGACGTGTTGTGTGTCGCAGGTGTGTTGTTTGTCATAGACGTGTTGTCATAGACATGTTGTTTGTCGCAGGTGTGTTGTTTTGTCACACAGCCGGCCCGTTGAGGGCTGGCCTTTTCTGTGTAATACACAGTATCTGTCTCATGTGTTACCCCACAATATACGACCATTATCGTGTTGAGGTGCTTCTCTTTACTCAAATAAACTCAGATCATTATCATTGTTGCAGTTTTTACTATGATCAAATGTTTTTGACTGTTACAGTTTTTACTATGATCAAATGTTTTTGACGACTGTTACAGATTTTACTATGATAAAATGTTTTGACCACTGTCTGTTAGTTTTTATGTGGGTGGTTGGTGTGCGTTCTAGTGTGGTTTACTTCTTATACTTTAACCAAAACTGTCTCCCCC